GTACTGTACAGTACATTAAAACATTGAAAACTGTACAAGTCTCAAATTTGCCCATTACAATTTCTTAGTGTATGTACATCCAACTGATACTCAAATTCTTCCTTACTTCTATAGCATATCCATTGTCTCTACTCAGACAGTAGCCACAGTTCTACAGCTATTGCAGATTGCTCATGTTGCACAATAATGAGTAAGTCCAACTTTGCAAACTGCAAAGTTTAAAACACTTTCTCTGTTGTGGAGTCATCATTTTCACTTGTGGAGCATCCTAGAGATAGTAAGTAGATAATATGTTCAAATGAAACTCAGACAGTTACTGTATTGATTGGCATACATCACATACATTCACTGGCCAATGAATTAGAAACAGCAGCTTAATATTTTATTGGACCACCTTTAGCTCTAATTACATAATTTATTTGATTTGGCATGAATTCTAAAAGATGCTGAAGTGCTTCTAAGTCCAATGTACACCAGGCATTCAATACACTTTCCTTTAGTTTGCATAGATTTGATGGAAGCAGACTTTGCTGGCAGATCTGTCATTCTAACGTGTCCCATATGTTCTCAATGGGGTTAAGATCTGGGCTCTGTGGTGGCCAGAATGGGTAGCAAAAGTCATCTTCATGCTTGCTGAACAAATTACAGAACAATTCTTGCACAATGGACAATAGAATTGTCATCAAAGAAAGAGCCATCAAATGCAGGAAAAAATTGCAACATTGCAGGATGAACTTGATCAGCAACAAAGTTCAGGTACTCATTGGTAGTCACCCGACCTTCCTGGAATATTAGTAGACCGTTCCATCCCAATAGAACATACTCCATACCATAAGGGTGCGACTATGCAGATGCAAGCGAGCGAATTTTCCGACCGAGTGAGAATATGTGGCAAGAAGAGGCGAGACGCGATAAATATCAAAACCTGTCAGATATGTGCGAGAACCAGAAATTCGCTCTCGCCAGCGTTATTTCTCGCTTCTCGTTTGTGCATGGTTTTCCTTTGTGAAAACTAAATTGCTCGCAACCTCTCGCTCGCTCTAAATTCGCGTCTGCATAGTCGCATCCTAACACCCCCAGCAGAACCTTGAGCCATGTTAATGAGGCAAGCAGGGTTCATTGCTTCATGGGACACCTTACAAACCCTCTGTCTATTGTCATACAGAATTAGGTGTACTGCGATTCATCTGACCACATTACTTTTTCCAATCCTCAGATGTTCAATCACAGTGCTCTTGGCATCACTTTAGACAAACTTTCCAGTTCTTCAGGTAGATATATGTCAGGGATGAAATTCATCAAATTCAATTGCAGCAGAGATGAAGTCTTTTTTTTCCTCACTAGCCTTTTCAGACAATGTTGGTCACATCTGAAAGAAGTAACTGTGGTTCCAAAACAGCTGTTTTGGAGCCACAGTTACTTCTTTCAGACATCAACTGCAGGCTATTTTTCCACTGATTGAACACTTGGTATATCTCACCTTTGGAAAAATGTCAGCTCTACAGTTCTTGATATTGTGGCTCCCACAAGGTGGGTACCCACAATCAGCCCTTTTTGAAACTCTGTCGTCTTTCACTTTTCCCATTTTCATAAATTTAATAACCATACTGACCAATAGCCTTCTTAAACAGGAGCATATGAAAATGTGATAACTCACATAACTCAAATGTTTTACATATAAGTTGCAAAATTACATTTACTTAATATGCATATGAGTTTCTGATTTATTGGCCAGTGAGTGTACTTCTTGGATGATAAAAAACATAATTACAGGAATTGAAAATGGTAGCATTCATTTTGAAAGACCTCATATTAAATGTTATAAACATAATTTTATATTTATTAAAACCAATATTAAAATTTATTAGTAATTAAATATACAAACAAATATTTAAGTATAATACAAACATAGATCAGGGGTGGCAAACAACCTTTTTGTCTGCATGTCAAATTAAGCATATTCAACTATTAAAATAATCATATGTAGAGTTTGAAGCTTACAGTTCAAATAAATATTTTTTAAAAAATAAAATGAAAATATTTTACTAAAATAAATTAAAAACACTAATTAAATAGATGATAGACTGAGCCTAATATAAAATCAAATTAATAAAACTGAAATTTGTGTAAACTGAAATAAAATCACAATTTTAATATCAATTATATGAAATTTATTTCATCAGAATAACTTTGTTGAATTGATTTTAGAAAATTTCAGATAGATTTACAATATGTAAAATATAATAATAATTGTAAATATTATTTATTAATAAAATCATATAATATATTTTCAAAAAATTCAAAACAATTACTGATAAATTTATTCCAACATTAACTTATAAAAGTAGAAAAACTGAAGCTGAAATTATGTTTTTTGACAAAATAGTTAGAATATACAGAAAATTAGCAAAAAGTATTAATTAAAAACTATTATTATAAAAATGATATAATTTTATCATAAGACATATTTTCTAAAAATTTTACAATAAATTATTATTCTGTTATTAAATATGCATTAAAGGCTGAGTAAAAAGTAAACATTACAACTCAATTTTATCACTATGTTAAAGTACCTTGTATCTTTAATCTATGAAAAAAGTATGATTGGTAAATAATCAAACTCAAATACTATTTGAAAAAAAAAACACTATATTTTGGTCATATCTATGCAATAATGTTTTATCTCATCGATACTTGAAGGAAAAATTACACAATACAGGGCCAAGATATATATCATGGCTGGATGACATTGAAACACGAATCAAAATTAACATAAAAATAATAAGAACTGCAGAACATAAAGTTTGCCAAAGTGGTTGCTGATACTGATAAGATTTGGTCTGAGATAATGTAACACATGGGCAATCTGCCAAGAAAGGTGCTCCTAGGAGAACTTTCTATGAGAAATGGCCCCTATTTAGGTGTTACAAATGTGAAGAAAATCCAGAAAACTCCATATGGCCAGCTAATTGGTAAGGCATAAACCTAGGACCAACTACCAGTGTTTGGGTGCATTATCCACTTAGCCACTGGTGTGTCCTTATGTTGATAAGTGATAACACCTTAAGAAAAAGAATACAGCAACTGTGGTTAATTAAATGTTTAAAAACATATATTCAAAAAATGTGATAAATTTTAATGCTTGTTTTCATTATTTATATTTAATAAATTTATATAAATTAGTAAATATATAACTATATTATTTATTTACAAAAATTTCTATATACAAAATCTGAATACACTTCAGAATAATAAATTTTAATTATATCTAAGATAAAATTTTTTTTCTTTTTATACAATAAAAATAATGAAACAACACAAAATCTTATAATTGATGATATTTACTATTAGTTATCAATATGTTCATTACAAGAAAGTATTCTAATGTCTCTCTCAAATATTAATTAAAAACATGCTTCATACTTGTAAAATGTGATAACAGCAACCAATTAAGACTCATTTTACATTCAATTGAAAACCTATTGTGCTATACTTCACATACACATCACCTGTTAAATATTACAATTATCATCAAATTAGTTTTAACTATTCATGCTAAATATTATAACTATACTAACAAAATATTTATGTTTCTTTTCCTTACATAAGTGGTTTATTTGAAAAATATAAAAAATACTTCATTAAACATTGTTTTAGCCCTAAAATTAAAAAACAAAATTAATGCTAATTTAAAATCTACTGATTCAACAAAAATAAATTGTTTAAATGTGGCATGGGTAGTTTACAAGATATACTTGTACAAATACAGTATATTATATAGATGAGACTAAAAGATAATTAACAAATAGACTTAGAGAACATAAGTTTTAAAATTGTTTTTTAAATTTAAAATTTGTAGTCTGAAAAGGGATTGGATAATACCAATCCATAATGCATTGTTAAATAGGCAAATAAAGTGAATTGTTTAAATCTTGGTCTCTTTTTATTGCGAATAATTAAGGAAGACACGTTAAAGATCACCAGTCTCATCATTAGAATAATTTTTACTCGTTAAAAGTCTGTCTATAATTTTCTTTAGTTTTATATATTTTTAATAATATATAAAAGTGTAAAGTAACATTAAAATAGAAATAAAAAACAAATATTTTTTGTATGTTTTGTGTAAAATAGTTAATCAAGATTAACAATGTGATTTAGTCATGAAATCTTTATTATTATAAATGTGTAAGAAATATTTGCAACAGGAAACAAAAAATACTAGTGAGACAAGGTAGAACAATAGCAATAATTTACCTCAAAGTTAAAGCCAATTGATTGATTGATTTATGGCAGCACAACACAGGCAATCCGCCGAGAAGGGATGCCTCCCGGGAGGACTTTCTAAGGGAAATTGGCCCTATCTAAATGTTAAAGGCACAAAGAAAACCCAGAAAACTACAAATAGCCAGCCCAGTGGCAAGGTGCAAACTCACGACTATCAGTGTTCAGCGGAGTTATCCACTCTGCTACCGACGGGCTTTAAAAAAATAGAATAATATAATTTATATACTTCTACACTATTTAATTTCATATTAAATACATTTTTTACCTAAACAAAATAAAAATTTGAATGATTATACGAGTTATTTATCACTATATCATCACAAAAGCATAAATTTTTCAATAAAAAAAAAAAAGCAATAACATGACATGGGTGGAAGCTACTTTAAGGTAAATTACACGTATAAAATAGGTAAACAAATTACTTAAAAATAACTTCTACTATAATATAATATGATAAACTGAAATTCAATTTTACTATTGATCTTTATTAAAAATTCATGTAAAAAGACTCTTAACACTTGAAATCATTTACAGATCTTACAATTACGAAGCGATTCAAAGAATGTCGTGACTTAATCATTCAACTGATTGATATATGAAATTAACAATAAAGTCTCTTTTGAAATATTTATTAAACAATTATCTCATGAATATTCTATTTATAAAATAAATATTGTATAACGTGCTTCGTTTCAAAAAAATATTCTTTCTCTTACCTTCGATTATAAAATTTACGAATGACTGAAAATAATTTAAAAGTCTATAAAACAAATAAAAACTGATAGCATCTATCTATACTAAATCAACTGATGAATGTTGAAGTTTATGCTATGCGCCACCTATGATATTTTTTATTTTTTATTTAAAAATAAAAAAATTATAAAAATTATTTTTATCAATAATTACTTTATACGCTAACATTTATTATTATTATAAAATAAGTTAATGATTTAATTAGAATATTATTATAATCAAATGCTTAGGAAAAAAATAATCTGTGGAATAAATTTACTTTTTTTTTAACTCTTTCCTCCGTGTGGGCACTAAGAGGGCCTCTTTTAGCAAGCCCATTATGGATTCGACCAGGCCCACAATGAGGAAGCCGGGTGGTGAGGGTCGAGGGTCGTCATATCGAATTGGACCACTCCCCGAAAAATTCTTTAGGATTTTTCGAGCCGACCGGATTCGACCCCGGGTCCCCAGAGCGGACCGCTCGACCATCCGGCCATAAAAGCCGATCTGTTGTAAAATAACTAATATGATTCTTTTGAAATAATTTATGTTATTTGATGACCAGATGGCACAATCCTTTGATCGAGAATCGAATTCAGACAGGTTGAAAAAATCTAGAAATCTATTCTGGATTTGTGGAATCATCCTTCACTACTCGGGCAGCCGGGTGGTTAATTAATTATTTTATCATAAAAATCGCTGGTCGTCGACTCATCAAAGTATTTAAAAGCTTTTATTCTATTGAAAGCAACGCTAGTGACGACAATCTTTTCTCCGACTGAGTATTCATTGCGAATGTATGAATTTGCTTCGTGGTTGAAAAACTGCGCTCAACAGATCCACTCGTAAATGGTACGTACAAAATTAATGATATTAAATGTAATTCTTTTAGTACATCTTGTTCGAATCGTCATTAATTATAATATCTTTTATGTCTAAGAGTGACTTGCCAATATAGTCTGGACAGGAATATAAATACTGTATTGCAATTCACTACGTAATTTAGACGAATCAAAAAATTCTCCATACAATTTACTTAATTTAAAGAATTAAAACTCGCTTCGGAAAATCGTTTTTCATAATATTAAAATTATTAACATCTAAAAGTGATAAAAATTCTAAATATTTTATGTCTGAAAATCTGTCAATGCGAATGCGTAGGCCTATTCGCTTGTGCCAGTAAATATAAGTGGCGTATGAGTCGACCAAAATGTCTGCCACGAAGGGTATAGCGCCAAGGACTTTAAACTACAAGGATAGCCTGATCCCGTATATTTGTTAGCGTGACCTTGGCTCTATGTGACGTCACAGCATGTCCTCTACTTCAACACGACAGATCTTTCAAATAACAAAATACGATAAAATATTAAATCATTTCTTAATTAATTATTAAATTACTACTAAATGTAAACTACTGTAGAATTTTCGGATTTAATAAGTGTACTGTACTGTACGTCAATAAATTTACAAGTCTTTTGTCTAATATTTATTTAACAAATTAATGAGCTATATTTTTATTATGTGATTATCTTACTTAACTTTTTAATTTTTTTTCGACAATCATCATTTTCAGAAGGCATTCTTTTCAATATTTTATAGTTTTCTTGTTAAAGACCTGTGTCAACAAATCTGCAGCCATTTGGTTTGATTTTTGTACATTTGGACGATAGATATTTCTTCTTTTGTAATATCGTAATAAATCGTTTAATACTTTTATTCTTTTTTTATGATCTTCTTTCAATTTTTCATATTCTGATTTTAAAACATTATATTCTTCTAACAGCTTCTTATATTTAATTTCGTAATGACATTCATCTTGAAGATTGTTACTATTGTTATCAGTATTTGTTAAAAGATCATTAACTTCTTCTTTTTGTTTTCTTTTTGAACTTCTTCTTTCTCGTTCCGTAACTGTTGGGTTCATTCTATCCGGAAGATTTAATGTAGGGATAGCTGTTTTCTTCAGAATCTTTCTTTCTGGTAAACCTGAAATAGAAAATATTCTGGAGTTTTATACTAAAACAAACAAATTAAACATTCACGCGCCAAAACAAGTAATATATATGAATGAACTGTACTTATGACTTACCCA